TTTTTTTTTCAGTTTAATATATAATAGATAGACGTAATTATGAAAAGCGAGCCATCCACACAATTAGTAAATACTAGAAGGGTAAAGATAAAAGTAATTGGAAGAGAAAAAGAAGAAGACGAAGAAGAAAAAAGAACGAGAATATGAGCGCTTAAAAGAGAATTAATATATGGTATTTAAAGGTCCCTGTCTAAGTGCTTTTGTCTGACAAAAATCTATTGAAAATAGAAGCAAAATATCATATTAATTCTGTTTGTAGATTGTCGACATTAATAGTATTTTAGTCTCATTTTCAAATCAGATATGTTTCGACAACATTCAACAATGACATTCATTTATTAATATACAAACAGATCAAAAATAATAATCTTAACGAATGTTATACGCATACGGTAGTCATCATTCATCATCTACATCATTACTTTCTCATGATCAAGAACAACAATCATCATCATCATCATCATCTCGTTCTAATCATCAATTACATCGTTATAATCATGAACCAGTATCATCTAATTTACTTCATCGTGACATTCCACCAATACTCATCTTATTATTTTTTTTATTTCTTATTGTTATTACATTATCACAAATTCTTGTTGTTCATACATCACGTTATGGAGCTAATTTTTCATCCATGCAAAAAATTCAAGAAGAACTTAAACAAATGGATGAAAGTATGGAAACACTTTTACGTGATAATGTTTTACCTATAGATAAATGGCGTCTTTTATTTCATATACAAACATATCTTTCTCGATTTGAAGATTTATTTAATAATTTTAATAATAATAATAATTCAAATTTAATACAAAATAATAATCAAACAATAGATCGAAAAAAATATTTCAAACCATTATTTAATAATAAATCGAATGAATTTTTTATACGAGATAATACGAGTAATTATTTTATAAATAATAGAAAACATATACATAATCGATCAAAAATAGTAATTGATGAAAACGAATCATCACAACGGAAACAACAAAAACGAATTTATTGTCAAGAAGAACCTCATGATCTTCGTGAGTTTGAAAACAAAAAAAATCAATTGATATTTATTCTTCTATTGTAGGAGGACGTTTTCTTAATGAAAATTCAACTTTTCCAAATGTATCATTATATGAAATCGAAACAAATTATTCCAATGTAAAATCCGGCGGTCAATGGTCACCATCTCATTGTCTTGCCAGGCATAGGGTAAACTATAAATTCAATATATACATACATAATAAATCGTTTAGTCGTTTTAAAAATAGAATTTTTACTTTCAGAATCTTTTTTTTCAATATTTGAGTAAGTTCGAGATGAAACATACGTTTTGCTTTTAATTCAACTAATATTTAACATTTGATGAGTAAATTTTGAATAATTTGCATCTTATTTTATGTAAATAGGTCGCAATTATCATTCCGTATCGAGATCGATTTGAACATTTAGTAACATTACTTTATTATTTACATCCAATTTTACAACGTCAAGAACTTGATTATAAAATATTTGTTTCTGAACAAGTCGGAAATGGAACATATAATAAAGCTGTATTAATGAATGCCGCTTTTATATATGCATCTAGTGAATATGATTTTCAATGTTTCGTCTTCCATGATGTTGATTTAATACCAGAAGATGATCGTAATATGTATTCATGTCCTCTTTTTCCAAGACATATGTCTGTTGCTGTTGATGAAATGAATTATAAGTAAGAAAATTAAATGAAGAATATTTCTTTTTTTAACTAATTAAAATTGTTTTTGTTTTAGATTAACTTATGAAGAACTTATTGGTGGTGTATTAAATATACGTTCTGATCATTTTTTAACAGTGAATGGTTATAGTAATTTATATTGGGGTTGGGGAGCTGAAGATGATGATCTTTATTATCGGTTAGTTAATGAATCTGTTAAATAAAATAAAATATTTCATCCTTATTTTTTTAGTTTAAAAGAAGTTTCTTTAAAAATCATTCGTCCACCAGCTACAATAGCTCGATATAAAATGTTACAACATACAAAACGTGTTCCATCTATATGGAATAAACGGTATGTGTATTTTTTTTCAATTCTATATATATATTTTCTTTTAATTTAGAGCTAAATTACTTTATTCAGCAGCTAAACGTTATACATGGGATGGTGTGTCCTCTGCTCGATACAATTTAACATCTGTTATTGCATATCCATTATTTACACATCTTAGTATCGATGTTGGTTTACCACCACCTGGTTTTAGCTAATATTATGATTTATTTTATTTTTTGTTTTGTTTTTTTTTCCAATGAACAGAAGAAGAAAAAAAACGTGCAGTGATTTTTGCGTCTATTCACATTTCTTTTTTGTTATAATAATCTATCGAGTGAAACAAATGGTGTTCTTTCGTTTCTTTGGAAGAATTGTTTAAATAATATTTTATGTGTCATTTTTCGTTGATTTACTTTTCCAAATGCAATATGAAATCTAATGAATGAAAGATACATCTATATATCTTTGTGTATTTTTTATAACAGTCATTTTATTTTTTTGTTTTTCATGTCACGTTTCTGTGTTTGCCTATCTCGCCGTCCTTTTTTGTTCTGTTTTGCATTTCTAAATTGCATATTATCGGACAGGATCAAACGTTTTTTTTTTGTATTAATTTTACTCGGTGTTTTGATTTTTCTTTCTTTTTATTGTGGTTGAAAGCTTGCTACTTATCATAATAGTGTTTTGCATTTTTATGTATCTATCATGTGCATTTATTTATTGGAAATTATATGAATATAATTGATGAAAAAAGGAGATTGCTAATGAAAGACAATTTTTCATTTAGATTAAATTCAAAAAAAAAGATATTTATATTGTCGAAATGAGATGAATACCAATCATAAATCGGACGTTGTTCAAGGTGACACTTGAAACCTATATTAACTTGCATTGGTGCATAAGATACGTATATGCAACTACGAAGAACGAAAGATGATAATTATATTAACCTAACTAACAATAATAGCTATGTAATTATTTTTTTGTATAAATGAGATATGTAATTTTGTTAGCTTTAACGGAAAAAACAAATAAAGAAAAAATTTCTTTCGTTTTTTTTTCTTAAAAATATTTTGAATAAAATTTAATATTTTATAGTAGATCACAGAGTATAATCAATCATGTTTATTCTATCGGATGTATATCGAATGTTGATCGGCATTGGTGATCGAGCTTTAACTCCATCAATGAAGAAAGTTGTTAAATGGGATCATCCAGGTAAATATATTCAATTAATACGTTTCTTTATGTTTTATATGAATTTTATAGCCGGTCCAAAATATGTTCATTTTTGGTCACGTAAGTTTTGATTTTGATTTCTATATTAATTATTTTTGTTTCTCTCTCTCTCTCTCTAGCTGTCATGAAAAGCACTTTAGTTGTTGCTGGTCTAGGAGATTTAATGCGTCCAGCTGAAAAACTTTCATTGAATCAATCGATTTCACTTGCTACCACAGGATTAATTTGGACACGAGTAAATTTTCATTCTATTTTATTTTTATAATTTATTTTCAATTTTTAGTTTTGTATGGTGATTGTACCAAAAAATTATTTTCTTGGTGCTGTTAATCTCGCTCTTGGTTTAACCGGTCTTCAACAAGTAATACGTATCGCTCATTATCGTTATACACATCCTGCTCAACCATCCAAAAATTAATGATTTCTATGATAATTTTTTCCATTTTCACTCTATCCATATTTAGTTTATAGAATATGTCTGAATAATCCATTTTTTTCTCCATATGATTGTAGTTTCCTATTTATGTCAGACATTTATTTATTTATTTTTTGAAGAATTGTGATTTTAATCAAAAAGAAAATGACTAAAAATTTTTTTGGTGACTTTAGATGTCTATTAT